TACATACTGATATACACCTGAACATCAGCAGGAGAGGACTCTTTAAAGTAGAGACACTACATACTGATATACACCTGAACATCAGCAGGAGAGGACTCTTTAAAGTAGAGACACTACATACTGATAAACACCTGAACATCAGCAGGAGAGGACTCTTTAAAGTAGAGACACTACATACTGATATACACCTGAACATCAGCAGGAGAGGACTCTTTAAAGTAGAGACACTACATACTGATATACACCTGACCATCAGCAGGAGAGGACTCTTTAAAGTAGAGACACTACATACTGATATACACCTGAACATCAGCAGGAGAGGACTCTTTAAAGTAGAGACACTACATACTGATATACACCTGAACATCAGCAGGAGAGGACTCTTTAAAGTAGAGACACTACATACTGATATACACCTGAACATCAGCAGGAGAGGACTCTTTAAAGTAGAGACACTACATACTGATAAACACCTGAACATCAGCAGGAGAGGACTCTTTAAAGTAGAGACACTACATACTGATATACACCTGAACATCAGCAGGAGAGGACTCTTTAAAGTAGAGTCACTACATACTGATATACACCTGAACATCAGCAGGAGAGGACTCTTTAAAGTAGAGACACTACATACTGATATACACCTGAACATCAGCAGGAGAGGACTCTTTAAAGTAGAGTCACTACATACTGATATACACCTGAACATCAGCAGGAGAGGACTCTTTAAAGTAGAGACACTACATACTGATATACACCTGAACATCAGCAGGAGAGGACTCTTTAAAGTAGAGACACTACATACTGATATACACCTGAAAATCAGCAGGAGAGGACTCTTTAAAGTAGAGACACTACATACTGATATACACCTGAACATCAGCAGGAGAGGACTCTTTAAAGTAGAGTCACTACATACTGATATACACCTGAACATCAGCAGGAGAGGACTCTTTAAAGTAGAGACACTACATACTGATATACACCTGAACATCAGCAGGAGAGGACTCTTTAAAGTAGAGACACTACATACTGATATACACCTGAACATCAGCAGGAGAGGACTCTTTAAAGTAGAGACACTACATACTGATATACACCTGAACATCAGCAGGAGAGGACTCTTTAAAGTAGAGACACTACATACTGATATACACCTGAACATCAGCAGGAGAGGACTCTTTAAAGTAGAGACACTACATACTGATATACACCTGAACATCAGCAGGAGAGGACTCTTTAAAGTAGAGACACTACATACTGATATACACCTGAACATCAGCAGGAGAGGACTCTTTAAAGTAGAGACACTACATACTGATATACACCTGAACATCAGCAGGAGAGGACTCTTTAAAGTAGAGACACTACATACTGATAAACACCTGAACATCAGCAGGAGAGGACTCTTTAAAGTAGAGACACTACATACTGATATACACCTGAACATCAGCAGGAGAGGACTCTTTAAAGTAGAGACACTACATACTGATATACACCTGACCATCAGCAGGAGAGGACTCTTTAAAGTAGAGACACTACATACTGATATACACCTGAACATCAGCAGGAGAGGACTCTTTAAAGTAGAGACACTACATACTGATATACACCTGAACATCAGCAGGAGAGGACTCTTTAAAGTAGAGACACTACATACTGATATACACCTGAACATCAGCAGGAGAGGACTCTTTAAAGTAGAGACACTACATACTGATAAACACCTGAACATCAGCAGGAGAGGACTCTTTAAAGTAGAGACACTACATACTGATATACACCTGAACATCAGCAGGAGAGGACTCTTTAAAGTAGAGACACTACATACTGATATACACCTGACCATCAGCAGGAGAGGACTCTTTAAAGTAGAGACACTACATACTGATATACACCTGAAGAAGAGCAGAATAGGGCCCCTTTAACAAATGTGTTTTCAGTGTACAGGTAGTAAAGACTTAAATTAACAAACAAAAAAACGATCCAATCAGGTTTCAGTCTCTCTACCTGTTCAGGTTAGGTCAGTTTGTGTCAAAGCCAAAGTCATCTGTTAACACAGCTGTCAATCAAACACACACACAGTGAAATGACTTATCGATCAGCTGATTCATAAACACAGCAGGCAAATATTCAGCTGTTCCACATTTGCATGATGGAATGAACATTGAATATCTGTCAGCCTGCACACAATCATTAGCATATTTCACGCCTGCAATTAGCTCTGACACAATTTGCCACTGAGCTTGCAAAAAGAAATCTTTGTACAAGGTTACAGGCTGTGTATTTTAAACTGCAGTCTTAGCAGGTAACATGCAAAGCTGCTGATTCAATGAGAAAATGACAAACTTTGAGTCAAACTGAGCGGTGAAGGTCTTTTCATTTTTTAATTAGGTTTGCCAGTCAAGAGATGACAGAAAATGAAGCGAGAGAGAGAAGACATGCAATGAAAGTCTCAAAATGTTTAATCTTGACTTAGAATCAGAGGTTTGCACAACAAATGTATATAAACTGAGGCTACAAGATTATAAGACTGTTAGAGATCAAGGTTCAAACCATACTAACTCAGGTCAGATAATGCAGCGGTAAACCATTGAGAAGTGGGTCCACATTTATAGATAAAAGGAGATATAAGTTGTGTCTACCCTTTTTTAAATGTGCTTTATGGAAACATGGCTCAACTTATTATCCCTCCTCATGTGACTTCTCGTTATTTTCTTTATAACATTGCATATTTTAGTTTATTTAAAAACAGATTTAGTTTTGGTCACAGCCGAAATATTTACAGGGATTTTCAAAAACTAATCAGCTCATAAATATCAGGGTAAAACGACGGCCAAGCCACTCTTGGAAGTCATTTTTCTCCTTGTGATTAGATTGCCTTTTCCAAGGGATGCTGATACCAAACAGTTACGACAGTTCGTGTTTTGACGAGAAAGCAAACTTTGTCCTGAAGCTTGACGCTGTATTGATAAGGCAATCAGATAGGTTGCAGGACGTTGCCCTGCCCCTGCGGTCAATGTTTTCAAAGTGTTCAGCTGCAAATACTTAAAAAGCACTGTTTACATGTAGTCCATTTACCATTTTTTTACAGTTAGGTACTCAGATCTCAAACATAGAGTATTGCTATGTCTTTCTACTTTTTAATTTAAAGTAAAGGTACTCTTTCTGCACAATGGCCCATTTCAAAATAAGTTTGGATTATAATTATTGATTCATCTTTTAGAGAGGGGATGGCATTACCTAAAATGTTTATTGTCCTCTGGATTCAAACCCTCTTACCTGGCAGCTCTTACCAACAGCAGCCCAATGGTAGATTTTTTTGTTAAATATACCACCATGTATCTTGTGAATTTCACAAAAATATCAATAAAATATTGTCTTAACCTAAAATAATACATGACAAACTATTTGTTGAGGACTTTTTGTATTATCTGAAGTAAACTACAGGAACCACAAACATTGTACTAACCCTAACCCTAACTTTCCACCTCTGCAAACAACAGATTGCTTGTGGAGGTGGTTCAGGAGTTACAGGATATCCTTCATTTGTCACAGCAACTTTCATCATCTGTAATAATGACAGAATGTTAATGCTGTATTAAAGATAACTAACTATGTCCAGCCCTCATTCTCTGCTTTCTTGTTCATCTATAGAAGACTCAGCAGCTGTCTCCATCACCGCCTGCGCTTATTAAGACCTTCTGTGATTCGGCGTTATCAGCAGAGATCGACCACAGCGTCCACTGGTCGGAGGAAGATGGATGCGACATCAAAAGTTTGGACCAGTGATTCATCTAGATGAAGGACGAGGCAGAGTGTGTCTGAGGTGAGAAAACCCCAACTCTTTTTTGGTCTTTAAAGAAAGTTCACGAGTCGCCCAGAAGTTTGACCACACAAGACGGTTTTGATTATAATTTTGATAATCTGGTGTTTTTGAGTTGATGAGTAGTGCAGATATCACTGTAAAATCAATCGACAGTAAAGAGAATAGTTACTTCCGGGTGTAAAATCCTCCGTTATCCAATGGGAATGGACGCTCACATTGCCTTTAAATGCAGCCGACATGGACCGATGCGGTGCTTCCATGAGCGTCAAATACCGCCGCCGATGGGAATACATTGCAATCAGTTGAAAGCTCTTTGCGTCCGTGTATGAAGCTGAAGGAGACTCGGCGCGTCACACCTACACACCACGGGACCCTGACCAAGCGTCGCTCCTGGAAGATCAGGGAGTGAGACCGTGTTGCCTTTTGTTTCTCGTAATTTATGTATACATAAAAAACTGTTGGTTTTTTAAGATACACAGAAGGCATGTTGGACTTGGGTTAATTATCATCTGTGTTCTCAGTGTGTTCGGGCTGAAGACACCTTATCCATTTTTAAGACTAGGACTCTGCTTTTTGATAAAGCTCAAAGTTAGGGCTTCCTAGAATCAGCCCTTAGTTTTGCTGCTATAGGCTTAGACTGCCCAGAGTGTTGTGTGTCTGTCACCTGGCAGGTTGTCAGCATTAAAGGCTTCACCTGGGTCAGGAGTTGTGGCTGTACCTGTTGCTGTGGTCCTGAGTCGTGATATGAGTCAGGGCTGTGCATGTTTTTAAACACAATTTACTTGTATTAAAAGTAAAAGTACTGATAATGCAGAGTATCTACTGTCATTGTTGTACTACTTTATTTTGAATAACTAATATCTATTTTAATATGTAAACTGTACTTTGATATTGTCATCTGGGATTTTAGAGATAATTAACTACATCTGCTTTTGTGGTTTAATCTGTAAATATGTATTGTATTTGATAAATGGAACTCATATTGTTTCTAAAATCTAAATTGAAAATTAACTATAGACAATAAACAAATTTAGATCTCAAAAATCAAGTGAACAAGAAGAATACATTTGTATAATATTGAAATACTCAAGTTATTGTGTGTTATTTGTTTTTCTACTTGAACAAAAGACTTAGGTACATGTTGAACAAATATATAGAGTGAAACACAGTGGAAACTTGTTTTTTTTTATTTGTTGAGGACTTTCTTAAGCTATACAAACATTCTCCAGAGAGTTGGACACAAATAAAATCAAAATAACTCAAAAGATTGAGACACAATTTCTTCTTCTAATATGAATCAAGCAGTAATCCTTAATGTATCACCGACAACTCACCAGATACATATCCCTTTAATACAAATATTTAAAACTATAACCTTAAAAGAAACCTGTACTTTAATTATTAAAAAATAAAATAAGGGGTGCATTTCTTCTCACAGTTATCTTTGCCTGTATGAAACACTTTGTATATATACAATGATAAGGAAATAAAATGTTATGAATTTAACACCCAGATATGTCAGGTCCGTGCAAATATTTCTTAATCATAAGTACATTATCTTTGATAGAAAAAACAGAAAACAATCTTGCTTTGTTTAGAAACATCAAATATGTGTACACTGCACCCACCAAATCATATACAAACAGTATATTATATTTAGTGATAGTGAATCTTTCTGTAGAAAACCAAATGGTTGTTCTACTCGGTGTGATTGACAGGAGAGATGATCAGAGGGGCAGAGTTTTTACCACCTTTGTTGTTACTGGGACAAAAGTATGGGTAGAGTTTCTCTTTGAAGCAGCAGCCAGTGAAGGAGTAGATCAGAGCTGCAGCATCAACATCATAAAAGGAGACCAGACCCTCCTCATAATCCACAAACACCCCCACCTTCTCAGGCTGAGACTTCAGAGAGAGACGGACTGCAGGACCAGCAAAAGCTTGGTACTTATTTCCATTCCTAAACAATATCATCCAGTAACCATCCTGAGGAGTCCCTGAGATCTGTCCCTTCCTGTTGATCGACTCTCTGACCACTCCTAAATCCCACTGAGTTTTCCCTTTAACCTGAACCTCGAAATAAAATCTTCCTGAAGAGAAACTCTGCTTTGCTAAGACACAAACACAAAAATCAAATCTCTCTGGATTGTCTGGGAGATTCTTCCTCACATCACAATGTTTAACTTGTTTTCCATCATCAGACAGGATGAGGTTGGGATGTGCTGTATCAGGATCAAGAGTCACCTCCACCTCATACTGCTGGACCCTCTTCAGCTCCACCTCCACCTCATACTGCTGGACCCTCTTCAGCTCCACCTCAAGCAGCTTCTTCATCTGTTTACTGAGCGTCTCCTCCAGCTGAGCCACAGCTCTCCTCACAGTCCCCTCATATGAAGGTGGACGGACCCTGACTTCTGTCCAGTTCTTGGTGGGTGGAGCAGCGTTCAGGGACGTGAAGCTTTGGAGGAGGTGGAGCTGGTCTTCAGAGCGTGACAGCTGCTCCACATCAGAGCTTCTCTTCTTCAGCTCAGAGATTTCCTGTTCCAGCTCTTTGATGAAGCCTTCAGCCTGTTCCTCTGTCTCTCTCTGCTTCTCTTTGATGGTGTCGATGAGCTCGGCCTGGCTTCTCTCAACAGACTCCTTCAGAGCAGTGAAGACCTGAACACCATCTGCTATCTCTCTGTCTGCTCCTTCCTTACTGAGCTCCACTGAGAGATTCATCTCCTGAATCTTCAGTCGTCTCTTCTGGATCATCTGCTGAATTTCAGCCTCTGTCTTCCCCAGCTCAGCCTTCTTTCCTTCATATCCTTCTTTCAGAGGAACAACATCATGTGTCTTGTGGTCTGAAACAGTGCAGAGCATGCAGACACACACCTGGTCGGTCTTACAGAACAGCTCCAGCAGTTTATCGTGCTTCACACACATCCTGCTTTCCAGGTTCTCCTCAGGGTCGATCAGCTGATGTTTCTTCAGGCCTGGCCTTGTCAGGTGACGCTCCAGGTGAGTCTCACAGTAGGACTCCAGACACACCAGGCAGGACTTCAGGGCCTTCAGTCTGGTTCCAGTGCAGACATCACAGGGAACTTCTCCTGGTTTGACAACTTGTTGCTCTGAGCTGCTGCTGCTGGCTTTCTGTTGAGCTGACTGTCTGAACTGAGCAGCCATCTCAGAGATGAAAGTGTTGACCTGCAGCTCAGGCTTTATGTTGAAAACCTTTTTACAGTTGGGACACTGACTCGGGATATTTCTGTCCCAGTGTTCAGAGATGCAGGCTTTACAGAAGTTGTGTCCACATGGTATGGTGACTGGATCAGTGAACACATCCAGACAGATGGAGCACAGAAACTGATCTTCAGTCAGCAGACAGCTGGCAGCAGACATGTCTACTCTGTGGATACAAAATGTTGGAAAAAACATTAAATATAGTTATATAGTCAGGGGTGCACATAACTGGTACGCAGGTACGCATGCGCGGCAACAATCTGAAATGCGTACCGTCACTTGTGTCACAAAGCGCATTTGCGTACCGGCGCACTTGTGAAGCTTTTCCAGAAGGCGGTTAGATCACCGGACGACAGAGTCGGTCTCCGTGTGCACAGACAGGGCTGCTGTTAACGTCGGTCTGTACTAGGGATGCCAGCGATTATTCGATTATTCGAATATTCGTTACAGTCTCCATAATCGAAGATTATTTTTAAAATTCGATTTTATTTATATATTTTTTTATTAATATTTATGTTTTTCTTTTTTTTCCTGGTTTGGTTTCAACCAAAATATAGACTAATGCTAATAATAGTAATAGTATTAATAATTGTAAATGACCATTGATCGCACCACCAGTTTGTTTTACTGTAAACTTGGAGGAAGCCAGCAGCGCAGAGTGCAGACTGCTGCTGCAGCCTGCTACACACCGACCCCGCCCTCCCCCCCCCTCCCTCTCCGTCACACGTGCGATTGATTTATTGGCGACAGAACAGTGAGAACACAACTAAAGATGAACAGAGCGGCACGTCCACAGAAGAGTTCCTCGTGGAACTACTTCGAACTGCAAATGCAAGCTCTGCGAAAATACTTTTTTTTCCTCTCCCGCGGGGGGGGGGGGTCGAATAATCGATTAATATTCGCCAGGGCTGTCCGATTTTCGATTTTGATCATGGTCAGTTTCTGGCATCCCTAGTCTGTACAGCAGCACTGCGCTGAAACAGCTGATCACAACGTCCACACGCTCTGTGGCCACGAAGCTCTGTACTCCACTACCACCACCCCCCCCCCCGTTGACATTCGCGATACAGAGGGCTTCATGGGAACTTTGAGGGGAGCCGGAAGTTGGAGTACCAAACACTGACTCCAGGTACTCATCTGAGTACCTCACTGAGAAAGTTGTGTGCACCCCTGTATATAGTTATAGTATAATTATTTGTTTAAAAAGAATCAAACTATGAATCGTCCTGAATTCCGTACAAATAGTAACTGAGTGAAGAAGAGCCTGATGTGCAGTTCAGTGTTATTTATTGTAAATCACCAAGCCAAGAAACTAAGTGATAACCAGAGTTGGGTGTAACGCGTTACAAAGTAACAAGTTACAAAGTAACGCGTTACTGTAATAATATTACTTTTGTCGGTAACGGAGTAGTGTAACGCGTTACTTTTATAATTCAGTAATCACACTACAGTTACTAACATTGCCCCGACACGCTTTACTTTGTTACGTTTATAAAATCAGTCATAATCACACTGACAGACAAGAGGGGTTTCCGCCGCAGGTTTATATGTACGTAATCTGCGCGACTTGCGCATCCACATCTCCATGTGCAGTGCTGCATAAACATGGCTGAGTCAGCGATAACTTTCGAGGGGTGGAGGCATGCCCATTACTTTGAGTTCGTCCGAAGAATAGACAGGAATGTGACGGTGAGGTGCAAACTGTGTCCAGGCCAGAAGCTGTTATCCACTGCTGTAAACACCAAGTCAAACCTCAACAAACACCTGCAAAGAACACATGCTAAAGTGAAGCTAATAGCTAAGGACCCCCGAACCCAGAGTGAGGATGTTGTGAGTGCGCCGCCGCCGACTCCGAAGCAGCAAAAATGAGAATTTGGAGGACCGGTAACCAAAGCAGAGATGGACAGGCTTGTAGCATCCTTCATAGTAGAGGTAATGTTGCCCATTTGCACAGTGGAATCACCATCGCATCGTTCAGAGATATACTGTGCAAAATACAGATAGCAGGAGACAGAGGACAGCCATGGTCAGAGCTATCTGGATCAGTCTTATGCGACAATGGAAACTGAACTAAAGAGAACATTTGAAACTTTAGCAGTCTGCGTGATCTGCCTGTAGGGAGGGGCGGGCCGGCCCTGCGAGTAAAGTAACGAGTAAAGTAACGAGTTACTTTATGTAGAGAGTAACGAAGTAGTGTAATATATTACTTTTTTTAAAAGTAATATGTAATATGTAATATATTACTTTGTTTTAGTAACGACCCCATCTCTGGTGATAACATAGAGATCTTTTTCACAACAATAAAAGATGAAAACAATATGATATTATATTATTGAGCTTAAAGGTGGGGTAGGTAAGTTTGAGAAACCGGCTCGAGATACCCTTTTTGTTATATTCCATGGAATGCTCTTAACATCCCGATAGCAATGAATATCTTAAGTGCTTTGACAAAAAATCCATTAAAAAATGTCATCTGTGGAAGCCGTGGTACTGTAAAAAGTACGACCAATCATTTTAGCCGGCCCGGCTAAAATAACTGGATGGCCTACCTGCCTGTCAGCCTTCCATCTGTGCACAAACTTATCTTGTGCCCTCATTGGTCATGTGCGCGTTCGTGTGTGTTGGAGGAGGGGCTCTGTAAGGAAGTGGCAGATTTTCTCCAGTTGTGTATTTTCCAATTCTAGCGATCTCGAGCTGGTTTCTCAAACTGACCTACCCCACCTTTAATCAAATGTAGTTTATCATTGCTGAGTTTGGTGTGCGTCTCTTTTGTTGGAGCCAACGAGCCGTTTGTCACGATGGTAACGAGCATTTAACTGCATCGCCCTATAAAAACATGTTGGGGAACAAGTCCGACTGGTCTGCAGTGTAGCGTGTTAAAGTCTGAAAACGTTTCACTTAGCTCAGCTGGAGACTGGGGCGGATACGGAGAGTCAAGGAGTTCACCAACTTTACTTTAGATTATTTTTGCAACAGGTTTTATTCAATTTACATGATTTATTGAGGCTGCCTCTCACTGCCTGCTGCCAGTCACTTTTATTTACCGCGGTGAAGTTAGTTTTAGGTTGGATATTCGACGGACATTCGCGGACCCGCCAGCAGCGTCAGTTTCCCGGACCCGCCAGCAGCGTCAGTTTAACGGGGAGATCTTCTCTGCGAAACGAGGCTTTCACTTAGGGACCATCAACAAATGACTTTTACAATTACACAAGAAAAATGTTATTTTTAATAAATCGACAGCTTCTCGATCGTGTGAATGTGAAGCAAATTCACTCTAGAGCATACATTTATTGAACACACCTCTTTTTATTGCATTTTAATACTTTAAATATTTTATATTAATATTTTGATGGAGAAATTAGCTTATTTCTTCAATACCTTCCAGGTCATGTGACCTAATCACTCAAAATCAATGCTGGGTCAAAGAACTACACTGGCTGCATAGGACACACCTCTTTTTATTCCATTTTAATACTTTAAATATTTTATATTAATATTTTGATGGAAAAATTTGCTTATTTCTTCAATACCTTCCAGGTCATGTGACCTAATCACTCAAACTCAATGCTGGCGCAAAGAACTACACTGGCTGCGTAGGACACACCTCTTTTTATTCCATTTTTAATACTTTAAATATTTTATATTAATATTTTGATGGAAAAATTAGCTTATTTCTTCAATACCTTCCAGGTCATGTGACCTAATCACTCAAAATCAATGCTGGGTCAAAGAACTACACTGGCTGCATAGGACACACCTCTTTTTATTCCATTTTAATACTCTAAATATTTTATATTAATATTTTGATGGAAAAATTAGCTTATTTCTTCAATACCTTCGAGGTCATGTGACCTAATCACTCAAAATCAATGCTGGCTCAAAGAACTACACTGGCTGCATAGGACACACTTCTTTTTATTCCATTTTAATACTCTAAATATTTTATATTAATATTTTGATGGAAAAATGAGCTTATTTCTTCAATACCTTCCAGGTCATGTGACCTAATCACTCAAAATCAATGCTGGCTCAAAGAACTACACTGGCTGCATAGGACACACCTCTTTTTATTCCATTTTAATACTTTAAATATTTTATATTAATATTTTGTGGAAAAATGAGCTTATTTCTTCAATACCTTCCAGGTCATGTGACCTAATCACTCAAAATCAATGCTGGCTCAAAGAACTACACTGGCTGCATAGGACACACCTCTTTTTATTCCATTTTAATACTTTAAATATTTTATATTAATATTTTGATGGAAAAATGAGCTTATTTCTTCAATACCTTCCAGGTCATGTGACCTAATCACTCAAAATCAATGCTGGCTCAAAGAACTACACTGGCTGCATAGGACACACCTCTTTTTATTCCATTTTAATACTTTAAATATTTTATATTAATATTTTGATGGAAAAATGAGCTTATTTCTTCAATAGCTTCCAGGTCATGTGACCTAATCACTCAAAATCAATGCTGGGTCAAAGAACTACACTGGCTGCATAGGACACACCTCTTTTTATTCCATTTTAATACTCTAAATATTTTATATTAATATTTTGATGGAAAAATGAGCTTATTTCTTCAATACCTTCCAGGTCATGTGACCTAATCACTCAAAATCAATGCTGGGTCAAAGAACTACACTGGCTGCATAGGACACACCTCTTTTTATTCCATTTTAATACTCTAAATATTTTATATTAATATTTTGATGGAAAAATGAGCTTATTTCTTCAATACCTTCGAGGTCATGTGACCTAATCACTCAAAATCAATGCTGGCTCAAAGAACTACACTGGCTGCGTAGGACACACCTCTTTTTATTCCATTTTAATACTCTAAATATTAATATTTTGATGGAAAAATTAGCTTATTTCCTCAATACCTTCGAGGTCATGTGACCTAATCACTCAAAATCAAGGCTGGCTCAAAGAACTACACTGGCTGCATAGGACACACCTCTTTTTATTCCATTTTAATACTCTAAATATTTTATATTAATATTTTGATGGAAAAATGAGCTTATTTCTTCAATACCTTCCAGGTCATGTGACCTAATCACTCAAAATCAATGCTGGGTCAAAGAACTACACTGGCTGCTTAGGACACACCTCTTTTTATTCCATTTTAATACTTTAAATATTTTTATATTAATATTTTGATGGAAAAATTAGCTTATTTCTTCAATACCTTCCAGGTCATGTGACCTAATCACTCAAAATCAATGCTGGCTCAAAGAACTACACTGGCTGCATAGGACACACCTCTTTTTATTGTAAATTAGCTTATTATCTTAGCTTAGCTTATTTCTTCAATATCTAATGACTCAAAATCACTTTCTGAATTGAATACTAGTCTGTACACAATAGAAACAGCTCTTTATATCGGATAATATTACATCCTCTATTTAATATTAATATTTCTATGGAAAATTCAGGGTTTTTTCTATAGCTTCCCTGTCATGTGATCCAGTGATTATCAGAAAGTAATACAAACAAGGCTACACAGGACACATGTTTTACTAATCGTCATCATTGAGCACATTTCAAGTATTACTTGCACAAAGGACATTTCCAATATCCTGTCTCTGCCTTTTTAAAGTCTCTGCTGTCCATTGCCAGACACTGGGCATGGTACCATCGCTCACAGTCATCACACTGAATCTGTTGAAGTGAAAGAAATAATGTATTTATATATTTGTAGCTTAGATTACCATTCAGTTGTCTTAATACTCAAGTGTTAGTGAGGAATCAGCTGACACAATCATCTGGTCCTTAAAACCCACTGCCTGTGTTTTAACATGCTCTTGTTTTGTTTTTGTTTTTTTGTTTTATTGTTCTGACTTTTAAATTGTTTTATTTAAGTATTCCAGTAATGTGTGTTGCATGTTTTAAATGTATTGTATTTACTTGTTTAAAATTAAATGTGTTTTAGGTTGACTTTTAAAATCTGTCCAGGGACTATAGATGAAAAATAGCCTCTTGGCTAACTCTGGCACATTTACAGAGATGTTAATTAATGTGCACTGTCCCTGTTAAATAAATGAATACATTAAAAAATAAATGTAGACATCACAATTCCACATTTTCTTCACAACAGCTCACCCAGTTTGTGATGGGAGATCCAGATCCTGGAGGCCTTAAGGCAGCACACATAGCACAATAAGTGTGCTCATCAAGGACTGAAACAAGATAACAATACATGTATGTCAGCTTCTATATACATACATATACATACATATATATATATATATATATATATATATATATATATATATACATACATACAGACACACATATACATACATACACATATAGCAGGTCTCCCTTGAAAAAGAGGTCAATGATCTCAATGGGATACAACCTGAATAAATAAAGGTTTGAAATGAAATGAAATACATATATTCATATTTATTTACCTGATGCCTCAAGGATTTCGAGAGCCAGTTCTATCCTCTCCTGTTTCATGTATTTCTTCGAACACTCGAAATTCACATTCGGGATCAGAGGGAAGGACTCCATGACTGCCTTTGCCATCTAAACAAACAACACTTATGTTATGGAGGTTTTTTCTTCTTTATTGTATAGTAATACAGATACAGACAAAAACATGAGACACATTATAGAAGACATCCACCCTTGACTAGAATGCCTCCCAAAACTTTTCATTATTGATATAGACCGGTCCTATTATTGGAATTTTGAGATATTCGGAAGCGAAGTTTTGTCAATGAAACTTTCTGTGTTCAAGTGAATACTACATTAGTGTTAAATAACTGTTAATTTAAGTTCAGCAATGTTGTGTCATAATCCAATTGTTGTCAGTTGTGAAAAATACAATAAACAACAACATGATATCGGCATTATACTGTATATTGTCCATTGGCCAACCTGCCTGCTAAATATTATGGCGATCAGCATCGGCCTTTAAAAAACCCTTATCGGTCGACCACTACTTTGACAGATTTTTTAATCCGTCCTTGCATTAAACTGTCTTTCACATTAAAAACTCTGCTTGTTAACTGGATGAAAACAGAATATCTTCAGCTCACCTTCACAACAACGACACCACAGCTACATCCATCCTTTTGAAGTGGGTGGCCCATAACGCCTCCCTTCCACTTAACATCCACCCAGTCTGTTATGCTGTGGCGTGTCCTCCTCATCTTGAAGTACTCCCTGAGAAAGGATAATGTTAACACACTTTATATTTCTAATTATGTGGCACCTAAAGATAATGTAACAGACATTTATACTGTTTGTATTCACCATATGACCATTTATTTATATAAGGGTCAGCTATAGATATCACTGTCTGAACACAGACTGTATCAGACTGTTTAAAATGCTTTCAATGCTGTTTGTGAGTATGAATGTAACTAAATGTGACACATTTTTTACGTTTAAATATAGTTTTTACTTGAATTTTCAAATATCTATTGAATTTTTATTTACTGTATTCTTTTGGCAGCATGTTCGGAGTCATCAAGCTCTTTGATGCTTTGAGCTGGATCCACCAGGAATACGGTGCTGGTTTTGGCATGAATGTACTGTGAGAGAACAAAAAAAGTAAAAGCACTTTTCATCAAAAAAGATTTTTGGTTTCACTATGTAAGTCTTGTGCTTTAACAGAAATAATACAATAACAAAAATAATTACAAACCAGCAACTTCCAGTGGTTGTTGTTGACAAGTACAAAGGACAGGACAGCTTCATAGTTGTCAAAGTTTACCTATAATGGCATCAAATAAAGGATTAAAACAAACTTGAAGGCTAAGGTAAAAATAACAACAACATTAGTCTGACAATTATGTTCTTGTGCCATTCATTTGTTGTGCTTAAAACAAGTGTTGGTATGGAAATTCAATAGTAAGTAGATTTATCAGGTGATTTAACTAATGAGTATAGTTTCAGAGAGGATCAAGTAAAATAATCTCAGCTAATTTCCTATTTAAGACCTGTGGATTCTCAGCCAATGCTTCACTCCATGTACCTAATGTGTGAGTGTGAGCCCACAAATCAAATCCACACCTACTTCCCCCTACAGCATCACCATGCACAAACACAACACACCACACACATAGACATACACAGACCACACACATTACCTTTGGTAAACTGTGAGATGTTAGCTGAGTTCTGTCCCCGAACAAAATGACACCTGCTGTGTAGTGATTTAGCAAGTACATTTTGTTCACAACGCCGAATTTGTCGGCAGCAACATGAAACACGCCTTCAATTACCTTGCAAAAAAGATCATAACAATTAGCCAATTAATGCATATTCCCAGTTTTACTGAACTTTCATTTCCTGCAACTTTGAGAATCTTGTGACTGACAAAAGTATCTAGACATTTTTTTCAGATATTTTTTGGGCAGAAATCGTTAAATGCAAGATAAAGAAAATGACACAGTGTAGAGTGAAACTTCAGACACTTGAAACATGTAGTCACGTACCTCCCCTGTCAACCACTGGTGGGGTCGAAGTGAGCATAGCTCACAGTGGCGGATAAGTAAGATGCGTCCTTTCATCTGTGAGGGGAGCACTGCCACGACCACCTCAGTGTCCTTTTTTTTCCACAGCCAGGTCAACTGCAAGTCAGGATTGAGGGGAAATAAATGCATTCTGTTTAATATGGACACTTGAGGAATCTTTTAACCCTCCGGTATCACTCTGGACATTTTTGTCCCGAATGACTAATTAGGGTAGTGCATTTGAATGATACCAGAGGGTTAACAATCTTGAATTTTTGGGTGAAGGCCTTGTTTTTGTATATGCACCATCAAAGCTACATACACAGAATATAATTAAACTGTCCATGTTTATGCATTTAACCTTTTTCCCTTTTAGAGTTTTCACTAAATGACATTAAACAGGCTGCTCAGGAACAGAAACTGTAATTGCAGTTTCAAGTCTGATTTAGAAATCTAGTTTCTGTTATAAGTTTGTATGCTGTATTTACATTTACATTTTTCATCTTCATATTCTCCCCCTACAACATGCACTTAATCATCTTGGGTTATAATACTTCATGTCCTTTGTCCTTCACCTCACTCTTTACCAATTTAGTCCATGCTTTACTTTCTGACAATATTTACTTATTCCATTGTTACAATTACAATGCTGGAGAACAATTTACACACTTTGAACATAGTAAGTCTTAGAGAAACTCACATTTCCCTGTGCATCTTTTTCCTGTTGGTCCACTTTTCTTTTCTTCAGCTTTGTGGCAGGTGGGCTCTTGGGGTTGGGTAGTGTTTTTGGTGGATTGAAGTACTTGGACTTGGACTTGGTGTGACCAGCAGAACTTTCCCGCTTGTTCCACTGTTCCTCGTGGTCATCATCTGGCCTGCTAGGATGTCCAAAGTTTTTGTCCAGAATATGCATTGGCAGATTGTGTTGCTCAATGTGCTCTACATATCTTCCTTGTATTGAGGCATACATTTTGGAGATGAACTCTGCTGGTCTCAGGTACTTTTTTTTTAAAAGGATGGAGTGTTTGACCAACCCAAACCAGAGCTCAACATGGCAGTTGGTATCCCTGGTTTTATGACTTCCATCTTTTTTAGAGGTACCTTTTCTATGTCGCGACAGATCCCCAAGCAACAAACCACTCCACAATGGGAAGATCCCCATGTAGTTTTTTAACAGTGCATCAATGACACCAGGACAGAGGTAGTGGTTTTTTACACGAACAGCATCGTCAGAGAGAATGTCACACTCTGCTTGGTCCCGCCTGACTTGAAAAGCTCGTGTAAAAGGGGACTTTCCCATAATGCTATGAGCATTTTTTTCCATTTTGCTTTCCTCCTCTCCCATTACATGTCCACTTTCTTCCAGTTTCACGTCCCGAGTTTGCAAAATGCACTTGTCAAGGTACATTTTGCTCTGTTTCACCAAATGAGTGTACTCCTCTGCATCAAAAAGCACACACATATGATAAAAAACATCAATGGCTTCCTGCATACTTGTGCAGTTCAGGATGTACGCAAAACAGAATGTTGCATATTCCTGTGTGCCTCTGTCTACAGTTTTTTTTCCAAATGCTTGTGACACAGCCTTCATGATATGAGCAGAGCACAGATGCAGCACAGTGAAGTTAGGAATCAGTTCAGTTTGTCCAGACACTATCTCAAATGCTCTGTCAAGGTACACTGACATATTTTCCCTGTTAAAAGACAGAAGCACACTGTTTATCAGAGCCCAACTATAATCTGTCTCAACCTGTGCTATCTTTCTTTTTGTTGTGTAAGACAACTTTCTTTTAAATTCCATGAGCCAATGGGAAATAGATGGAATGGAATGGCTGTTGGTGATCAGTTCTGTGACAGGCAAGGGAGGCTTATCCTTACCCATTCCGGGCAAAACCAAAGCATAGTACAAGACCCGCTTATTTTGATCAGGACTTTTCTGTATCACGCTGCCTGTGGCATCAAGGTAGAGAGTCGTAGGTGTTGGCTTTTTTAAGTGCTCAGTCAACATTTTTATTCCAGCATCTGTGTATAAATGTACAGCAAACGGATCTATTTGTAGGTGCTGAAGATAGCCTTTTGATGATGCATGACTGCTGCTCTCTTTGATTATTTTTTGAGTCAACATGAGTTCAAGCATCATGTCATCGTGGAGCCTTGCACTTTTCTTCACTTCAGAGGATATTGTCTTTAACACATCTTTGGTGAGGCTTCTGCTTATGTTACCAGCCATTATTTCCTCTACTGGTGTCTGTCTTAACATATTGTAATAATAATTGCTGACACCACTGGTTAAGGCTTTGGAAATGGTTCCTCTTCTTGTGTATTTTGCTGGTCTAAATCGCCTTTGATTTTTATGGTGTATAACTTCACCAATACGCATGACTTTTAAAAATATTTTTGTATCCGTTGATTTTGGCCTGTTCTTTTTTGAGAAACTGTAGACAGCGTTGCATCCATTAAATGTGCATTTTGCAGAGGCACAGAAAAATGGCGAATTCTTTTTACGGCTATCCTTTGTCTTAACATGCTGGTATTTGAAAGCAAGTGTGCAGCATGGATTCTTTTTCAAAAATTCCTGATAAAATGTATCAGTCCAGGGGGGACGGAGTTTTTGTTTGCCATGTTTAGGTTTAATTTTGTTCCATTGTTTTCTTGTCATGGCAATGTTGAACTTTTTTGGCCCTGCTTTGCACTTTCTGTTAATTTGTGTTGTCATTTCGGTGGCTGTCTCTGTACTTTGCTGGTCTGACTCTTCTGTGTCTATCTCAGACTGTGGCTGTGCGTTACTCATTTCCCTGTCATCCTGACTTGTGTCCTCGTCTTCCTCACCTGTAGGTGCGCTGGAAGACTGTTTCTTGATACTGTGCTGTCCATCTCTCCCTCTTTCACTGACATATTTTCCTAAATACAAACATTACAAAAGTAAAAAATCTCATTTAATTACTGTATCTCTTATCTTAAGACTACAATGCAACTTTAAGCAATCTGCCATCCTTGGGTCAATTAGGCTACAGTCAATTATGTTAACATCCTACTGTGATGGCTGTAGTATTTAATTAAATAAGTACATTAACCCTTATGCCTCCCTAAGGAAATGTATTGTCCATATCACTGTTTAATTTTGCGAGCATTCTGATTGTGTTAAGAATATGTCACGACATTTGGTAAAGATGTGAGTTTTTTGGAAAACAATTCTTAATAAGTGTATGTGTAATCAAAATAGTGACTTTCAGATCCCTAGCGACAAAAATACAAATGAATGAACATTTGATAATTATGATCAGCACTGAATTGGGTTAAAAGATGTAAGTAATTGAAAGTGGAAAAAAAATATTAACATAGCCTATAATATCTTTATTACAGTATTTTTAGATGCGGACATTTTTGTCGTTAGTGTTTTCAGAGTAACGTTTTTAAAAGGGATTCACAAGGGTTAAGCTTCAACTTAAAAGCCTCTGGGGCAGAGTCCTGCATGGGTCCAGTTTTCAAATCCGCACCCACCCGAACCCTCGCAGCTCAGTACCGCGAACCGACCCGTTACACGCAATTATCTTCAAGTCAAGTGTCGGAAGCATCCTGAGGCCACAGTGGCTTCAGAACATGTATATAGTCTATCTTAAAAAACATCTTGAATTTATTTGTAGAAAGTTAGTTTGTTATTTAACAGGGATGGAGACTTTTTTTAGTTTCATACATTTTCAAAAATACATTGTTAGAATTTCTAAAAAGTAGTCTTACTCAAACCACTCAAATAATGTAAATAAAGCAAAAGGCTCCTGAAATCCTTTCACATGTACTCACCAGTGTAACGCTGCCTTGCTCTGGTCCTAGTATATTTAAACTGCATGGGATGACGGCTACTAATGAGCACTGCACATGATATATATATTTGGAATTCTTTATTGATTGAAGTGGGGGCTGCATTTTGAATTCTTAAACAAGTTATGCTTATCAGACTGTGGCATGACCTTTGCAACACAAATATAATAAAGTGAGCATGTTTAGCAAGTTTTGATATTGTTGCATGCTGTTTATACTTTTTTTGACATAGAAAAACTATGATTACTAATGTACATATAGCTTTACACTGGTATGATCTGGAACTGTGACAGGCTCTGAAAGACTTCAATCCACTTCCGTAGTTGCACTTATGAAGGGAAACAATGGCCTTAATGAGTCTAACTGGTCACAAAAACCAAACATTTTTAGATTTTTAGATCAGGACCTGGTCTAATGTGGTCGAGATGTAAAAAAAGCACTGAAATCTCTCTTTTTTGTATTTTCACAAATAGAATTAAGGTTTCACAAATCTGAAACTGTGTTATAAAAAATGTTTAGACCCTCTGGGATAATCCAGTCCAAATAAATCGTCTATGCAGCGATTTAAGAGGTTGAAACACGGAGGATTGTTCGCTCAGCGCTGTAAATTAAATTTCCCTTAACTTTCCCCTTAACTGCCGAATCGGAAGCTCTGAATCGGAAGCCAACTTCAGCGTCGTCTATTGCACGCGATGTTGCTGTAAGTTATTAATAATAATGATTTGAATCACAACGTTATGAACAGTGGCGGCCGGTCCATAGGGGCGCTAGGGGCGCCGCCCCACCTCTTGCCATATTGAAAAAAAAAAAAAAAAAAAAAAAAAAAAATTAAAATTAAAAAAAATAAAATATGTTTAAAAAAATATATATATTTTTATTTTTATTTTTAATGAACAAGGTAAATATTATATAATTGGTATCAGTAAAATGTATAATCTACAATAAAATCTCGTTTAAAATTGTGTTACGATGTCTAAAGTTACTGATAAGTCACATGTTTCCTGCCTGGCCTTGCCCATGCACCTTCTCTCGTCTGGGCGCTAAGAGAGGAGCCTTCAACCAGTGCAGCAGCAGCCACTAGCAGCTGACTGTTGCTATCTGTAACGTGTAAACTATGCCGCGAAAATATAATTTCAGCCAATCAGCGTCGTCAAAGATGACGGTCACCGGGCGCCAATGTCAGCGCCCAGTGCAGTCTGTGAGTAGTTTGGACAGTGACTCGTATCCGGTTGACGCAGTAGTTGATGAGGATGGCTTCGTGTGCAGGTGGAGTCTCCGGACCTCGGTCCCCGCCTAATTCTGTTCAAGAGCTAATCTCCAATCCTTTCGAAAGGAGAAGTTTGGCAGATAAATTGTTGCTTAAAGACCTTGGACCGGACCAACCCGA